ATTCTAGACAAACCACTGTGGATTTTAATTTCTTCTATTGATTTAATTTCATCTTAATCTTATTTACTTTTGTTTTCTGGAGCAAGGAGGGTCTGACTTTTAATGACTTCTCTATGCATTTTACTTGGGGAGAACAGATGATGGATCTGAATTTCTACTGTCTCATTGCCTCCCAGCAGGACTGGTGACTTGGCACTGTTTAAGCTATAAGGTGGCACTTCCTGTATCAAGGATCTGATGGTGTCAAACCCCACTGTTAACACTATTTGGTGGTAACATTCCTTCAGCTTCCTTCCTTGATCTTATTTCCCTGAGTAAAAATAATTTATTTCTTAATTATTTATGTTCTATTATGTATGCTATTTCAATAAGAGCAATTTTATTCTGCCAAAAGTAAAGTTTATTGAAACTTTACATAAACTATAGTGCACACTTATAGTAAACTAAACAAGTCAAAAAGGTAGTCTGTTTTCAAGTTGCTTCTTTGAAAGAGATAGCTCAAAAGATGCACACAGCTATCCTAGTCATCATGTTCTGACCTAAATAGTCATGCATTTATTGAGTCAAGAAATCTTTACTGGGCTTCTATCAATTTCCAGCAACTGGATTAGGCCCGAGGTTAACAATGACCAAGACAACTATTTTTCCCCTCATTAGCCTCAAAGCCCCAAAAGACTGATACAGAGAATATAGGTAAAAGGGCCTAAAGTTTTGATTGACACATCACATCTAACGAATGTCAATGATGAAAGCTAGTGTCATTAGTGTTGACTCCATATAATACAAAGATTATATTTGTGTCATAAAATGTGAGAGATTTGTAATTTAAGTAGCAATTCGATGAGCATCCCTGGCAGGGTGTTTGTAGCACCGAGAATTCTCTTTAAGCTTCAACCTGGAAGTCTTGTCAGTCTGACCTTGTCAGAAGCAACTGGATCAAATGACACATCTAAATAAACTGAGCGGCAGAGGCCTTATTCCAAATGGCAGGCATTGCTGATATAAATGAGATCTGAAGTCCAGCAGGGCAACTTGAAACTCTTGCTACTGGCAGCTTAGTAAAGTGATGTCCATTTCCAGAAAAGAAACAGAAAAGTGAAGGAGGCCTGTCATCTCAGAAAAACTACAGAAAAAAATCAAGGTGGTTCTTCCTTTTACATCCAAATGCCTCAAAATGTAAAATGCAGACATGTTAACTATCATGCAACAGTAATAAAATAATAACACTAATGTTTACTCTTTGATCAAGCTGAGAAATTAGAAATTCATACCATAAATATACATCATGAAAATAGATCTTAACATTTGCTGAGCTTCAAATCTAAATATTTAGTCTTTTATTATTAAGAAAGACTATTACCTTACTTTTGTTTTATCTGAAATAAGATTGATAAAAAGTAATAAAATACATATGAAAAGGGCACTGTATTGTTTCATATTTAGGAAAACTAGAAATTACATTTTTAAGAGAGAATTCTTTTGACAAGTGTCTCTCTTTAGTTCAATTATAGGCATTGTAATACACTGAGATGAATATTAAATTATTAATGTACCTTTCAGAAGCTGTATTTGTTTTTTATTTTATCCTTTATATCTTAAACTCTGAAGAATGTCAGAGTTTCTCTTTTAAAAATGAATATGACAACAACAGCTCTTGAAATACTATTCTAAATTATAAATCAGAAAATAATATGTTGGGGGAGAATTAAAAACAACCAAAATTTTGCAGTGTAATCTTTTAAGGTAAATGTTTACGATTCCATAGACAAAGCACATTGGTTAAAACAAAGTGGTAATATATCAGGTGCTTTTTTTTGTGGTACTAGAGATTGAACTCTCAGGACCTTACACTTGCAAGGCAGGCAACGGAACTACTGAGCTAAATGCCCGGCCCGGGGTACATTATTTTAAAACTGTCCTGTCTAAAGCATTCTTTGGATGTTGGCTACACATTGCTTCTGTATATTAATTTTTCACACAGAAGTGCTTTTTCCTCTAAACTCTCATGAGAAATAGTGGTTAACACAAAAATGAATATGCTGTAATACTCTTTCTGAAACCCTCCAGTCAATGCCTTGCATATAACTTTCCAACAGGAAAAAGAAAAAATCCCACATACTTGTTTCCCTAAAGAGCAGCATGAGATTTCCAATCCTTTGCTTGAACACATGAAATATTAAGAGCCAATTTTCAGCTGCTGTCACTTCCATTATCATTCTACACATCCAGAGGTGATAATGGACTCCATAAATTGCAGTCCTTCTCCGGCCCAGACCACGGAGGTTTCACTGGGGGACAGTGCCATACAAAGGGCGGCCCAGACATCTGTTAACGGCACTGAGCAACAAGCAGCAGAGCCTACCTACAGAATACTACGATGTTACCCAGAGGACACAAAAGCAAGCAGAAAACAATTTTCTTACGGATTCAGTAAAATAAACAGCAACCTATTTCCCCCCACAAATCAAATACGTAGCGCTATCCTCATAGAACGTTGGAGAAAGGAGATTAAAATACACTCCTAATGCCTACCCCAAGTCAACACAGAATGGAGCCTCCCAGACAATGAAGTTTAAAGAATTCTGGATAAAGCTGTTGCTTCCTACCAGTTTTTTTTTTCTCCCCAGAAATATCACACAGATCTACCAGGGTTAGTGGAACATCTTTAAAGATAAAGTGAGAAAAAGAGAATAATGCAGGTGGGGATCCTTTTTTTAAAATTCACTGATGAAGTGACGTCCACCACTCTTCCTGCTAGGTACTTTGTGTTCTAGAAGAAAGCCACTTTGTAAAAATAGGATGCAGTTAATACTTCCTTTTCAAATCATATGTGAAATAATCAAATTGTGGGGAAGAATATACAGGAGGAATGAAGAAATTTGCAACTAGCATGTCTTTTTCACGGGCACTCATTTAACTCTAATGTTGGCTAAGCATTAATTGAATGAAATACTATGCTCTGGGACGGGCTGCAATGAGTTACAAGACAAGGGATGCATGAGAGGAATGGATGCCTGCAGACGAAAAAAGGAGGCAGAGCAAAATTGGATTTTACCACCAGATAATTAGATGTATCTCACTTTACACACTGGACAATATGCAGGTCATATAAATCCCTGCTTAAAGTGCTAATAAAGCTGAATGCTGACTATCACATGCTGAGGCCAATTTCAATTCCATGAGTTTACTTTGGGACTGATTTCATACTTTATAGTGATTTCAACAAAGCTAAAAAAAAAAAGAAATGAAGAAAGGAGAGGAAGAAAAGAATATTGGCAAAGTCATTTCTCTATTAATTCAGCATCGGATATTACCAGTGAGCTCTTCTCTTTCTTTTCTACTTGCGTTAGCAGTCTCATATAGAAAGGTACTCTGCTTAAGCACTAAGGCTGAAGAGAAGAAATGTCCACCAGTGATTATGTCTTAGAGGGGGAGGAAGAAGTAGGTCATGCAATGATACAACCCGCGACCCGCTCTGTAAGAGGGGTCAGAAGACTGTTTCTCATGATACTCTACTAAATGTTGGCATTTCCAGGATGAGGTTGTTAGATCTAAAATGCGTCTCTTCTATGTTTGGCAGAACACTGGACTGTAGGTTAGGGTTAGCTTCACCCATCAGTGGGTTCACCCATTATGAGTTTAGTAGTTCAAGGCGCTATTAGAAGATGGGGTCACTCGGTGGGGTCGGGTAACTTGGAAGGGTGTATTCTTGCATCCAGTTCCTTCTTTCCCTCTCTGCTTCTGGGCTGCCTTGGGTTGAACACAATTTCCTCTGCTAGGCCCCTCTGCCATTCTGTTCTGCCTTCCAGTCGGCCAACCAGAGGCTGAAACCATGAGCCGAAGTTACCCCTCCTCATTTTAAGTTACGGGTTTGAATATCTTGTCTTAACGATGAAAACTGACTAAGACAATGATTTATTTTTAAGATTTTCCATCCTTTTATGTTTCTCCATGAAATGGGGTGTTATTCTGTACAGCATAAACAGAGTTTGTAATTTATACACGTTTACAATGAAATCTATTAACATCCTGGAGAGGTGATTCTATAGGGAAGTCAGGGGAAAGAGGAAAGACTTAGGAGAGATGCTAATCTAAAGGGCACTGGGTGTTTTTCTGGGGTGATAAACGGATTTAAACTAGAGAGAAGGTGTGGTTGCAAAACACTGTCAGAGTACTAACCAGCACTGAGTTGTGCACTTTCACTTTAAAGTTTATGTGTTTTGTGTGAACTTCACCTCAATTGCAATATGTTATTTGATATTGCATGGCAATTTGAAATACTAATTCTAAAGTAACACAGAAATTTAAAGAATCAATCAGTCTCTACTTCTCTCTCACTCGACATGCAGAAAACTGTGATTCTATTTGAGAAAAAAAATCAGAAACTTTTTATATAATTGGATAAGCAGAGAAAGGTTAGTTAATGTCTTTGAGATACTTTCTAAAGTTCAAAAGATTGTACAGTAGCATAACAGGAGACTCAATATGACAGAATATGCCAGTGTTCTCAAAAACTTTGTTTTCCATGAATTTTTAATGACACAAGTAATTTTTCAAGGTCACCGAACAAGCAATCAGTTATTCAGACATTAAATTTGTTCACAGTTTCTTGGCAGCTTTGCAAGAAAACAAGCAAGTGGGATTTGTGGAGGAGGGGAAATGATACCCTGAAGAAAAGGTGAATTAGAAGAACCATGTAATTAGCTCCAGGTACAGTTGATTCAGGCTTTAACCTGCCACCCTCAAGAGTGTTCTTCACAGGGTGTGCTAGAAGGTAAAAGGAGGCACTGAAATCTGTCATCTTCTAGTTATAACTGGTTAACAGTATATTGTATATTTTCAATCTGTCCACGCACAAAAAAATCATTTTCTAGTGATTTAACCACATCAGTATTCAGATATGTACTGAACGTTTTTAACTTGACAATTAAGCATATAGGAAGGAAATTAAGAAATATACTTACAGCACCTGTGTGTGTGTGTGTGTGTGTGTGTGTGTGTGTGTGTCCCTGTGTTTTTGTTCAGCATATTCCCAAAGACTGATAGGAAGGTGCAAAAAATAAATTCTCTTTTGCAACCTAGAAGCCTCTATTTGCCATGAGTTTTGACAACTGTGGAATGGGGTAATACTACACCAAAGAGAGTTTAAAGTGATAGGGGTATTGATAACCAGCAAGGCTGGTTTCGAAAACTGAAGATTTGATCATTAAAAAGAATATAACATGATGGAAATCTTAGCTATACTGATGTAGTATCTCAGTTTTCATGTTGACATGAGGCATCAAGATGGGTTTTTAAAAAGATTTTTATCTTGAAAACATGACGTGTGTAGTCGAAGGTACTAGTACATCTCCAGGTCTGTACTCTTCTGAGTATGACACCTTAGGATCAATACAATTAGAACTCATTTATGTCTAGAGGAAGTGTCAGAAATGGAGAACCAGGCAGATCTGTCTACTCTAAAAATGACCTGAAATGAATGAACTGCTTCAGTAAGTTATTCCAAAGATCCTAAGTAGGAAAGTCTGAAATTGTTTGGTGTACATAATTCAAGTGCACATGAATAAGCCCAAATAAAATAGTTATGGAAAATGTTTTTGAAGATAAATCATGACTGAAGATTTAGAGAAACAAAAGTGACCTTTATAGCAGTGGAAGGAACTATATGTCAAAGTCCTTACAAATTTATTGACTTTAAATAATTAAGAAATATATACACGTCAATATTTGTAGCCCAGAATGAGATATTCCCTAGAAATTTGAAAAAAAAAAAAAAAAGAAATTATACTGCTCTCTGTAGGTTAAACTAAAAGAAACACAATGGAGCAAGCAAGGGTATGAAAAATGTATGGATGCATTAAAATCTTGACAGTTCGTGGAGAAAGCGGGGGACTATCCATCATTTATGGGATCATATCAAGAGAATAATCACAGAGGTCAATATGCAAGGTATCTTTTAACTATTTCTCAGAAAAGAATAAAACTTAAGCAATAAACTTCAAGAATTCTTTCTCACTGGCAAAGTCATGTGTGAGCCAGAGATACATAGAAGGACTTGTATTTGTTCCTTTCCCTTAGCAAAACCTTCTGTCCTCCATTTTAGTGTTCATCTGTGATGACCCCATCAACATGACTGATACATTTCTTACTCTGATTCCAAGCAACCTTTACCCGCTATATGTCCAATGCATTTGCCTATAGAGAGAAAATACTTTGCACTAGAGATACCAGCTCTTACTGTAAATTATCTTAGCATTCTGTATGAATTGACTTTGAGACTCTGTCCACTATAGCTGTTGGAGTTTTGATTCCAGTCTCTGTGACAGCTATGTTTTTTAAATTGGAATTTGGGCTTCTATAAGACAGGACTGAATCCGCTAGTATCTGAAACCACCAGTCTGGAAGCCAGCTAGATAGGAGTTAATTTGCTATGGAAATAGTTGCTACCCAGTGAGGCCTATAGGTTAATTGTATCAGTCATGTTGAATGGAGACCACCAACTATCTAAAAGAGATTAAAAATGTAAAAGTGAGAAGACACAATGTGTTCAAGTAAAATAAAGTAACAGCATGAATTAATTTCACATGCAAATAGTCTAGACATGAAGAAAGCATGTACACTGAATAATAATTTTGCTAGTCTTAGGAATGGGAAGCTCATTGAGTTGAGGTAATTTAACCATATCAATGACAAATAGAGCACCTTGCTTTGCTAAATTCGACTGTGATAAGTCTACATTTTTCATTGCCTATTTCATTTTAACTTTTTTCATGTTTGGATGCAAGATATTAGCTTGCTTCTGGTGTTCAATATAGATCTTAAAAATGAAGTAAATAAAGTAAGTTAGGCTTGATTTTTCAACTAACAGATATTGCCAATTTTAAAAAAGAAAATTCCTGGAGCTAAATATGTATTGAGGAAATGGCAGATATTTGAGGACTCATCCAAAATTTGGATGATATGAATGTCAGAGAAGTTGAAGTTATATACTTATACTTATGTTATAAGGATGGTTTTCTTTTTAAAATACATATTATGTAACATGTGATGTATAGGACATACTCATTGATGAATCTTAAGTAAATATTATTAAAAGAATCTTTTTTCTTTGCATAATGCCTAGATTTATTTGTTTAGAAAATTTAAAGCATAGAAAGTATTTTCTATAACTACTTTAAACCAAAGTAATGACTGACTTTTAATATCATAAGCTCCATGAGCAATAAATAGTTTTTGTTCATCTGTCTTCAATATTCCCAGAAAACTTTGCATTTTCAGCTCCTAAAAATAAATTCTTAAGTGAATTTTATATCAGTTGACATAATTTAAATGATCAAATTAAAAGCTAATCAGAATTTTCCACTAATGCCTTTATCTACATGTTGATGTACATATTAAGGAAATATTTTATATCATATTTTTCAATATTGTCTTTTGAATTCATTTCAACTTGAATTAAGAACAAGGAATACATCTATTTTCAGTGATTTCTCCCTTTAACATCTCTTGTGTTTATAATAAACAAATAATCTAAAAAGGATAGAAAGGAACCATTTTTAATGTAAAGATTGTTCTGGATATTTTCCCAGTTCTCTCTGCCGAATTTTGCTTTCAAAAGTTGTGGTGACAATACTGAATACTCTTGGCATCCTTGTCAGTTTTCATTTGTCTGCATAAGGAATAAGAGATTCTTCTCCAGGATCAACAAGACAAGAACACACAGCTGAAACATCTCCTATCTGTCTGCATTCAGTGTCATTAGTATTTCAGCAACTCTAGAGCCAGGGTCAAACTGAAGTTTTTAACTATTTAATTCTGAATCATCAGTCACTGACTTGGGAGAGAGACAGAGAGAGCTAGAAAGAGATGGCAAAGGTACAGGCAGAGGAATAGAGACATTAATTCTCTCTTTAAGAACTGATAACAAAAACCAGGACTCTGGTTCTTGGTTTTGTTCAGTCTTAAAATGAAAAGAAATGAATCTTTTTTTTTTTTTTCTTTCCTGGTTCCAGGGATTGAACTCAGGCCCTTGTGCTTGTCAGGCAGTTGTGGCACCACTGAGCTACAACTCCAGCCCAGGAACTACATTCTGCCAACAACCACAATCAGGTAGCCAGATGAGGACCTGAGCCTTACACGAGAGCGTGGCCCCGGCCTACACCAGGATCCCAGCCTGAGGAGACTCTGACCCAAGCCATTCCCATGGTTCTAGCCTACAGAACACCAAGAAAGGTGAACAGTGTTCGTTGCAGTGGTAAACTAGGGGGGTCAATCTGTGCTTAGAAGTGAGTCCAAAATTCCCAATCTAAGATGGGGTCTGTTGCTTCACAAGGAATAGGAATAAAAAAGTGTACAGTATATAATTTCTGATAAGACACCTGATGCCTTATCTATTAGAAAGACATCTTGGCATTTATATGTCTATGGAACAGAGATGATTGTGTGTATATGTATATTTATCCTTCACTTAAGCATTTTTATTACATTGGTTCAGTGTTGCTTACAAGGAAATGATATACAAAGGTGTCTCAAAAATCTGGGGCCAGGATTTTTTTTAGGGGATTTTTTTAGGAACTTCAAATGAAACCTAATGTTAGAAACAGCGAGTCAGTCTCATTCTATTTTAACTTCCATTTTGGCTGGAAAATATGGATCACCAAGATAAAAATGTAGTATGGAGGATAAAATAGAATTTTCTGCTATATGTAATTTTTTCGTCAAGTGAAAGGGATTGAAAAATAAAAATAACTGAGTTCTTTGTCCTTCCTCATAGATACCTGTTTGTCTTTTCACAGAAGCTTCAAATCTTATTTTGTCTTTTTTAATTTCTTTGTTTTTCATTCTAAAATTACTTTTTTTATTTCTTTGAACCACAAACTCTACAGCCCCTTGCCAGAGTTGGCTAAAGAAAGAAACGATTTTAGTGAGATCACTGTCAGACGTTTCAAGAGAAAAATTCTTTTTTTTTTAGGATACACTGATTATTAAGATATATTTTCTCTGTCAGACCAGTAATAGATACTTATGAAATTTTGCTTTAAAGAAAAAAAATGAACAATAATGATTGAATTTTATTGAGTATTAACTATGGGTTCATATGCTAACTCCTTTAATTCCCATAATGGCCCCACTGAGTGAGTGACATTACTACTGTTATTTAATAGTGTACTGAAGTTACCAGTGACCTCAGAACTTATGTGTTATGGCAGGATTGATATCATCAGTTTAACTTTTATCCTAACCTTTCATTCATTAACATGTAAATGAATAAATGAATGCTAACATTAAAATTTCCTTTTGATGCTCTAAAGAGACTTCTAGTTTCCCTTAACTTGCAATTACAGCTATGTTAAGTGGGCAATTCTCTCACCTTGTCACCCCATCTACCATCCAGTGAGTTTTCCTGATGTATTTTAAGAAAGAAGAAATTTCAAAAGAACCTTGAAGTCTTTTTTTGTTGTTGTTGCCTTTTGAAACCCTCACTATGTAGTTCAGGATGGCCTTGAACTTGTGGCAATCTTCCAGGCCTAGCCTCTCAAGTCCTGGGATAACACGTGTGCGCCACCACACCTGACTTGGATTCTTTTTAAAATTTTCTTTATTTAGAGATAGAAGTATTACAATGGTTCCTAGTCGAATCAACTCTTACATTTTTTAGACCCTTATTTTCTGCCTGTTTTGGACATAGAAAATACACTGAAATTCAACTCAAGTCCTTTCATGTTGCACTGTAATTGTTTCATTATGCTATAAGAACTGACTTTGGTATATATATATATATATATATATATATATATATATAGAGAGAGAGAGAGAGAGAGAGAGAGAGAGAGAGGGAGTCATTCAGAAGATTGATGCTATATCATTCCAGTAATCAGTGTATTAAAAGTCTCCAAAGGCCCATTGAGGTATCAGACTATACTGGCTCCAGACCTGACATTATCTCTTGTGGTTCAATAATGATTATGCACATATAATTGACTGAGAATATATCAGATCTATAAGTCACATTGTAAATGGACAAAATACAATAAATGTATATGAATAGACTGCAATTACAAGCAAGTTCAATAAAATAGATTTGATAAACTTCCTTGTAAGTTATAAATATTCTAACAACCTTGTGAA